TGTGTGTGTGTGTGTGTGTGTGTGTGTGTGTGTGTGTGTGTGTGTGTTGTGATGTGTGCGTGCATGTGTGTAGAGAAGAGGACAACTCTGTGGAGCTGGTGCCCACCTTCCATCCTTGCACCTTCACGAGGTTGCTGGTATGGAACTCAGGTTAACAAACTTTTACAGCAAGCACTTTACTCCCAAGTAAAAACTGCTCTTAAAGAGAAAAGTCTCCAACATTTGAACCCCTCTGTGAATCACCTAGGAGACACACCTCTGGACCCGGCTGTAAGGGCGTTTCCAGAGAAGGCACATGGAAGAGGGAGACCTACCAGAGTGTGGGCAGAACCTTCTCAGGTCAGGGGCTGGGGTCCCAGGCTGAATAAAAAGGAAAACAATCAGGGGTAGCAGCACCAGCCACCTCCCTCTGCTTCTTTCTTGACTGTGGACGCCGCGAGAACACACACCTCATGCTCCCGCCGACATCGTCCCCACCTGATAGCCTTCCCCGAACTGTGAGCCGGAACAGCCCTTACATTCTCAAGACGCTTCCATGGGGCACTTTGAGCGCAGTAACTGGTACACCTACCTCGCAACTCTTCCTCGAAGATCTCCCAAGCCAGAGAGCTGGCGCATCTCCAGCGTCTTTAAGGCAGAATTAGTTCCATAGCTGATGTTGTCCCTGGCACGGATCTGCTCCTGGAGAACCTGGGCAACATAAAGGTCACTCGGGGTCACTGGCAAATTCACAGCTGTCCTCACAACATTTCATAATTCGGGAAAGTACATGAGTGCACAATCCATTGTTTCACAGGGAAGCTTTTTGTTTGTTTAAAACTAAGGGTCTCACGGCTAGCCCTGGCTAGTCTGGAACTTGTTATATAGATTCAGGCTGACCTTGAACTCACAGCAACCTGCTGGCAGATAATTCTCTTTTCAGTGGTGAACTGATAAACACAGCTGATTGTAGAGAGCCAGGAGGCATAGAAAGAGGTATAACTGCCAACTAAGACTCCCCTAATTTACCAATAAACCTATGCTTTTTGATTTTTTTTATTATTTTTCGTTAGTGTAGAAGGGATTTTATTTCTAGTACAATATCTGCTATGCCTTAAGCTGAATGTAGACTTATTTGTCTTTTGAGACAGCATCTCACTGGCCTCTGATCTGCCCTCCTCCTGCCCCAGCCTCTGCAGTACAGGAACTACAGGCATACGTCACCATTCACAGCTCCTGTTGTTTTGTTTTACATTGTTTTAATTTCGGCTTTGAATTTCTCTTTGGTTTTAGGATCTCTGAGTATCTACGGATTACTTAGCACTAGAGGGCTGGCCTGGTGGCACAGGTGTGTAATCCAAACCCTCAGGAGGCTAAGGCAGGAGGATTCGGAATTTGAGGCTAGCCAAGGGGACGTCTTCAGATTCTGTCCTAAAATCTAAAACTGAAAATCGTATTTATTTTAAGATTTTGTGTGTGTGTGTGGGGGGGTGTTTTTGTTTATTTACAATTTTAAGTTACATTTTATTTGGTGGTGAGTGAGATGTGTGGTCAGAATACAACGTTTAGGAGCCGATTCTCTTTCTACCACATGGGTGCTGGGGATCAAATTCAAGTCTTCAGGACTGTGGCAAGTGCCTTCTCCTGCTCGTCTGTCTCACTGGCTCCGTCTTTGCTACTTAAGTCTCACTGCACTGGCTCACAATAGTCTGCAGGGCATTTCACGTTTTTAATAGAGTAAGTTTTGCTTTGTGGCACATGACTGAGTTGTTGGGTTTTGACTTATGTATGTGTGGTGACCTCATGTATGTGGGTGCCCATGTGTAGTTGGAATTTTATTTGGGGCACCAACCAGCTCCCAAATAAAGACACAGAGACTTATTATTAATCATGAGTGCTCGACCTTAGCTTAGGCTTGTCCCACCAGCTCTTTTAACTTAACTTAACCTGTTTCTATTCATCTAAGTTTTGCCTCAGGGATTTTTTACCTTTCCTTCATTCTGTGTGTCCTATTTTTCTACTTCCTCTGAGTTCGTCTGTCTGGACCCTGGTGTTTCCCTGTCGTCTCTTTTTCTTTCTTCTCTGAGCCTAAATTCCTCCTCCTCCTTTCCCTTCCTGTCTAGAAATCCCGCCTGTATCTCCTCCCTCACTATTAGGCATTCAGCTTTTTATTAGATCAACCAGGTAGGCAAGGTAAAACAGCAACACATCTTACACAATTAAACAATTGCAGCACATCTTTACATAATTAAGCATGTGCAACACCATGAAATCCAGACTAGGGTCTCCAGTGCTCTGGAACTGGAGTTATAGGTGGCCATGATCAGACTGAGACAGGTGCTGGGAACTGAATCAAGTGGGACCCCAGAGCCATCTTTTCAGCATCTACAACCCCACTCAGGTTTTAAAAACCCACTTTAACCCGGAGCTTGGTGAACTTTTCAAACTTTTTTTCAACTCATGCATAATTCGCCTGGGTAACTAATGCTTCCACTCTTCCCTGCCATTCCTGTTTTGGCACTTGGCTGCACCAAAATTTGCCCTTCTGGACAGTTAAATTCCATTCTGAATTTAACTGTCATCTCTCTGAGGTTCCTTCCACTTTTCCCTGGGATTCACTAAACTCTTACGTTCAAGGCAGTAGTTTTGCACTACACTCTCAGGCCCTGAATATGTGAATTGCTTTTATTCCTGGCCCACAGGTTCCCTCTGTTGGAAAGCATGACTTCCTCCTCTGGATACTGGGCTTTTGGATGAGATGCAGCCTTTCTTTCTCTGCTCATTGGAGTGCTTGGTGGGAGTTCCTGAAAACAGTGGCAGCATCAGTGGGCTGGAGGTACAGTGAGCGGAGGACCTGTGTGCCAGGTCCTAGCCAAAGGCTGAGAGGTGAAGTTGGCCCCTGCTCTGGAGCTGCCTCTACGGTGTCTCCTCACTTCCCTCTCAGGGTAAGAGACTGGCTCAGTCACGCAGAGGAAGGCAGTGACCCTGGCTCCTCCTCAACACTTCAGGTCTCGCTCTGTGACTTCGCCAGATTCGCTGCCACTGCCAGGCCCTCTTGTCTGTGCCGTTCAGGTACTCAAGGTGCTCAAGAAGGTGGCACAGAGACTGGGGCGAGCGAGGAGGCAGGCAGGACCAGTGCCCTTACCTCCTGTGCCAATATAGGGGCTTGTTTCCCTGGCTTTGTTCAGTTTGGTAACAATGGAGTGTAAATTGCACTGGCACTGAAAATGGAATTTGCAATTGCCAGACCCATTATTTCCTAAGGTTCTTAATTTTTAATGAATGAACCTGCTCTATGAAAAAGAATGTGAACCAGCTACAGTCACCTATGAATGACAAAATGTTACTCATCTGAGCACACTCCTGCAAGGAGACTTCAGATCTGACTAATTCATCTCCGGCACTCTCCCACTGATGAAAGGCGCTGGTGGAGCGCTCTCTCTCTCTCTCTCTCTCTCTCTCTCTCTCTCTCTCTCTCTCAATGGGCTCAATGGGAATTGATGCCTATTAGAAGCAGTGAAGAGAAAGAAATACTCAGGCTTTCTATTTGGGCTTCTTCAAACTTTTGTTGAGAATAATAAGACACAGGCCATGATGCTCAAATGCCTCGGAGGTACACACTTGTCACCCAGAAGGCCCCTTCCACACGCAGTGTCCCCGGTCCTGTCCCCAGGAAGACAAAGCTAAGGAATGACCCTGAAGGTGGATGCCAAAGAGACACAGGGCTCTCCTAGGTACCACTGCAATTAGATGCTAAGAAACTCTGGCTTCGCTTTGGTTTTCAAACCCTTAATAAAGAAAATGGAAATGAATTCACAAAAGAGGTGCTTAAAATAATTAAACACAGTCAACATGTCTGGCAACCAGAGAAACAGAACCCATCCAGTGGGGGCTGGGGATGGCGTTCAGTTGCTAGAGTGCCGCAGACAGAGTGCTCACGAAGCCTTGTAATCATCGGAGCCCTGCGCAGCAGTGGCACGGCAGGTTCCTACCCACCCCTGACATGGCAGCGTCCTCGGTAATCCCAGCACTGGGACAGGAGGAAGGAAGATCAGAAATTCAAGACCTTTCTTGGCTACTAAGTAGTGATTTTGAAAGATCCTGAACCACTCTGGGGCAGATGCTAACAGTGGGCGTGGCTGAGGGGGTGTGGCTTGAGGGAAGCTGTGGAGACAGGGGTGCGAGATAGGAAGGCAGGGGCTTAATGGAAGCTTTCTATGCTCTCTGTTCCATTGTGCTGCGAGCCTAAAATAGCTAAATAAAATAAAATAAATAAAAATAAAAAATCTTAAGGTTCATGCTTTATCACATGTTTGTTTTGCTGTAGTAGAGACTGAACACAGAGCCTTATGTATAACACTTACCTATACAGCCAGCCCAAAATCTGTTCAAGAAAAATAGGCCAGGCAGTGGGGGCACATGGCTTTAACCCAGTATTTAGGAGGTAGAGGTAAGGTGAGTTCAAGGCCAGCCTGGTCTACAAATCGAGTTCCGGTATAGACTATTACACAAAGAAACCCTGCCTCAAAAAAAACAAAAACAAAAAACTCATAAAACAAAAAGCAAAAATAAAAGAAAAAGAAAAAAGAAGAAAGAGAAAAGAAAGACCATTTGTTTATTATGGCTCAGTTGGTAAAGTGCTTTTCAGGCAAGAAAAATAACCCGGTTGGGTCCCCAGCACCGTGTCACAACCAGGCATGTCCACACAAGCTGTGATCCCAACCCTGGGGAGGCAGAGACAAGAGGATCCGTGGAGCTCGAGATTCAGGGTGAGACCATGTCTCAAAACTATGATAGAGGTGTGTAACACGAATTCTAATTGTTCTTAATAATATAAAACCCAGAGTCAGATATAAGGGTTAAAGCTGAAGATCGGAGAAGCAGAGCAGCCAACCACAGAGAGTTCTTACCTCTGTCAACGCCTGGACCAAAGGGGTGACCTGTCTCTGTGAATCCTCAGACTGCATCTGAGCTCCTGTCTCTTCTCGCCTTATATTCTCCTCTCTCCCCAGCCATTTCCCTTCCTGTCTCTACCTCCCTAGTGCTAGAATTAAAGGTGTGGGATCCCAAGTGCTGGGGTCACCTCTGTGTGATCTGTATTTCTCTTTTAGACAGAATCAATCATGTGTAGCCCAGGCTGGACTTGAATTCAGAGATCTGTCTGCCTCTGCATCCCAAGTGCTGGCATTAAAGGTGTCACCACTGCCTGGCCTCTATGCTAATCAGTAGCTTAGCTCTGCACTCTGTTCTTCAGGCAAGTTTTATTTGTTAGATCACAAACAAAATATCACTACAGAGATGGATTCAGAAAAAAATCCATGTCAACCTCTGACCTCTACATACACATGCATGAGCATGTACACACATACATACACTTATTTTTAATAAATTAAAATGAAGTATTTTAATTGTAATCCAAAAGTACAACAAAAAATCCAAGAGGTACAAAGAGATGATGTAGTCAAAATTCCACATTGTTCAAAATTTTGACCAAGTAATTCTGCTTCTTAGAATTAATCTTAAAAAGAAAAATGATAAAGCTGTCTGCATAAAGATGTTTTCACACATGATATCCACAGCATCTGTTACAGATGTTGCATCCTTATGCAAACACGAGGTGGTTCATAAAGGGTATCACCTATTTGTTTATTTAGGGACCGCTCTCAGTATGTAGCCCTGGCTAGCCTAGAACTCGCTATGTAGACCAGACT